TACCATAATCTATATCTCTTATAAAGATAAACCCCACTAGCAATTTATCTTGTCATGCAAAGTGTCCCCATCAGTATCCACTAAAACATCTCACTAGCACTTCAAACTATCTTGTGTTCACATCAACATCCACTAACACATGACATTATGTCTTCATTCAGGCTATTCAACATTAGCAAACCACATCATTTACTAACATATATTTAGTTGTCCACATCAGAATGCTAAAAATCATCCACTAACATGTATTATGATATTTATTCAATCATATTAGTAAATATAAGTAGTATAATTTCACCAGCGATTCCTACAGCAACGCGCGGGGCATTCTTCTGGTTTATATAGGGCGTGATTGGTTGCTCCGAGCTCGGTCATCTGGGATGAAGGCCCCATCCAAGCTCAGGATAGCCTAGCTAACACCGTTCACCCTCCTGTGTTTGGTTGCAATTGAGGCTTGCGTACTGGATGGCAATCTTCTCGTTTGGTTGCCAGCATGGAGTGTTAAGTGGTATGAAGTTGTGCCCCTAACTCTGTTTGGTTTGCCGCACGGCAACAGGTCTAAGCACCAAGGTATGGTTTTGGTGAAGTTACCACACTTCTCAGCAAAACAAGCAAGACAGAGGATTTGTTTGCCTCAGTTCATTGTGCCTTTTCATCGGCAATGACCTTGGAGCATCTAATGACAAATTTGAACCATACAACAGTCCTGACATATAATAGTTAACAGCATTAGGGTCATAGTACCTCATAAGGTCATTGTCATTTCAAGTTTGCATGGCACATTTTGAGCATCACAGGTAGTTGTAGCAACGAGCAAGAACGAACCACAAGAGCACCAGCAAGAAAAAAGATTGCACCACAGCCACAACAAATAACACCGATGTGTTCCTGACCACCTTTGGTGGAGGCTTGACATAAACTTTGTCATTTTCACAACCCATGAACTTCAAGTATGATGCTTCTGCCTCTTCTTTGGTAGGGAAGCTCTTATAGCTGTCGTTTTTAAAACCGGTTACCTGGGCATTGCATCTAGCCCAGGTTGCATATACCCCAGGAACCTTGCCACAGTACACAACATATCAAGCCATGTGCCCCTTAAAAAAACACATAAAAGTAAGTATAAGATGTTGATAAGATGAGGGTTAGTTCAATCGATTTGCCTCGGATTTAATTGCCTTGCCATTTGACCTTGAACTTGAAGCTTAAGAAACATAGATAGCAATAAACCTCAAACAGATAGTAGAAAATTAAGATCATGACAGGCATGAAACCATAAGAGACATCCAGCCCAGCCATCAGATCATCACAACTGTCCAGCTATTGCTTGGGCATGGATGTCTCACATGGTTTGATGACAGCCATGAGAAGCATAAGTAGAAGATAGAAGAAACAATGCTCTAGTACCTCATAAGTCTAAGGTCATCAGTGTGCATAATCCATTACTCAAACTAGCACTATTATCTTCATAGGCATGAAAATGATCTCTCAATTATATCAGCCTCAGTCAAAAAAATGGTGGACATCATAGGCATAAAAAAATGCAGACCTCAGCTAATTGCAAACTAACTTATGATCATCTTGTAAGCTAACTGCAATCATCCCAGGTGGCAAATAATAGCACAAATTGCTGAGGCAAGTTCATGGCTACCATGGAAGCGTGGGACACGTCCATCCTAGCCATCCGGTAGGCATGTCTACAACAGTTGCTTGGGAATGGACATATCCTACGGTTTCATGACAGACATGAGAAAACACAAGAAGACAATAAAGCAGCAACATGAAGAATACCCACAGCCACCTCAGATTGCTATAGTTTACATCATCGGCCAAATAGGAACTCCAACAATAAGAATAACAAGAACAATAACAGCATCTAAAATGTCTCAGATCAACTAAGTGACAATCCAAGGTATTTTAGGGCTCAGATCAACTAAATGACAATCCAAAGTATTTTAGGGCTCAGATCAACTAAGTGACAATCCATCATCCGTTATTAATGTCTACACCACACAGATCAACACAGCCTCACATCCATCACCATGGCTCCTATGCTATACAAAATTAGGTGTAGCCTTGGTCAGGCGGCAAATAATTCTTTGTAGCATCAGATGAGGTCAGTGTTACACATCAAAATACTTCCTACAGCATAAGACAGTTAGCATGGCTATATGTAAAAGTGGAGAGGCCAACTCATATGCATCTAAGCAAAGTAGAAAGTGCTCAGGTAGGTCCTAAGCCACAGGATCCTATGAGCCTCTGTCATCTGAACAAAGCAAAGTCCCTCAGCCCTATACTTCAGTAGGTAAACCAGGGCAAACATGAGTGCCTCCTATGAGTACCCAGGGCAGTCCATAACATAGCCATAAAGGTCCTGATGCACCTCATTGTGTTGTGGAGTCTTGAGGGCATCTCCTACAGACTCCACAGCCTTGATCATTCTATTCATGAGGTCTATTTCCTCGGGGGCATGCTTCCTTCTCTTGCCACCCCTTTCCTCCTGACCCTTGGCATCAGAACCCTTAGAGCCTTCCATATCAAAGGAGTTTCTTTTCCAGAATCAGCATCTATGTCACCTAAGTCAGTGATGTCCTCAACTACATCAATATCACCTTAGCTAATGTCAGTTGGAGTACCCAGAGGCTCATTTGAGCCCATTGCATACCTGCCTGTGGCCTGGTTACCACCAAAGATGGCCTCCATCTAAACATAGTTCTTTATTGGTGTGTTCAAGAACTTAGCATCAGTAGGATGGTCCTAGGTAGTAAAATAGATATAACTATTAGACATAGGGGAGCAAAAGAAAAAGAATAGCTGAGGTGTTATCCAAATAGTTTCTAACCTTGGCGTGGGCAAGCAGGTGTTCATCATCAAGTACTATCATATGGTGGTTCTCATCCCACAGAGCACCACTCAAATCCTTGAGCCTAACAATCTTAACCCACCTTTGCCTCCACTTTCTCAAGTGATTGTAAATCTGCTGGGTGCTCATATTGACCCCAGCAAACTCAGAGACCATGAGTGCAACCTGCCTAACATGTACCTCCTTGAACCCTTTGTTAGTTTTGACCCCCTGCCCCACCAAATCATGGAACCTCCTTAGCATGAACCCAGACTGGACAGGAGTCCAGTGCATAGGGCCATTGGGCTGAGGGGCTGCTGGATTGCCATCATCAGCAGCAACTACCCCACCCTGTTCCACCACATTGTCCTCACCACCAATGTTAACAACCTGGTCAAGTATATTATCCATTTCCTATCCACAACCAGCATAACATTGAATAAACCAGTACGTAAGGAAAACAAATTGCATGATATGAAATACAAGTTCAATAGATCAAATAGGCAGAAAAAGAATAGGTACTACATCATTGCAAAGTGCCATAGGTCTCAGTTAAAATACAAGTTCCATTAATGCTACTAAACAGTACACACACCATGCCACTACACCCTAGAATTCTCCCTGTTTTGCCACATCTGTGCAGCACATGCCTCCCTCTGTTGTGCCCAGGTACCATTGTCAGGGATATGATCTAGCTGTGAGGCATTGTCATTGATGTTAGGAGTCCATGTGGATTCAGCAGGCACATGCTCGTCCTGCCCATGCCTGAGGATCCAATTATGAAGAATACAATAGGCAAGAACAAGCTTAACTTGATTCTTGTATGGGTGGAAAGGCTTATTGTCCAATATCCTGAATCTATTCTTTAGAGCCCCAAAAGTCCTCTCAACTGTTACTCTAAGAGACGAATGCCTTAGATTAAAAAGCTCTCTTTGATTTTGAGGTCGGTTTGAACCAAACTCCCTCAAATGGTACCTTGTGGCACGAAATGGTAGCAAGAAACCAGGCCTCACTGCATAGCCAACATCGACAAGATAGAATTTGTCTAGAAATTAGCAGATAGGGATATGTTTTAGTAGTTTCATTTAGGAATTAGGATTAAGCAAAGTGTCAATGGTTTTTTGTGGTTTGGATGATACCTGATGGCACTCTAAGGCCATCAGCTCTTTCAAGAGCATCAGACAAGATAAGAGCATCATGTGCAGATCCCTCCCAACCAGCAAGCACATAGGTGAATGAATCTGAGGTCAAAGTCCACGGCTGCCAACACATTTTGTGTGATGGTGTGCTTCCTGCCTTTAAAGGCAGCTTGTATCTTTACGGGTACTCTAGCTAAGACATGAGTACCATCAATTGCTCCTATGCAGTCCTAAATCAACAAAACATAAGTGCAAGTGAACATTAACACTAAACTGATAGTGAATGAGACCTATATATGACAAGTTATGGATATCAACCTTAAAATAGGGGTACCACCTTCTGCTCCCAAGGATCATAGGATGGACATTGGTAGCAGGAGGGACAATCGATTCATTCCTCAGCTCTCCTACTGCATATAACACCTTCTGGAAGAACCTACTAATTGTCTCTGTGGACCTCTGAAGGTGAGGTCAACCACCCTAAACCTCTCATTGTGACCAACAACGTGCAAGAACATGTCTACTTGTTCTTCAACAGATGCATGTATGCTGTCAGTGACCAGCTCTCTACTACGGAAAAGGTCACAAAATTAGAAAAGGGGGCCATCTTCATTCTAAGAAGGTTGACACAGTGCACATCATCAGATTCATAGATATATCTAAGGTTGTTTATCCTCTGTTTGTCCCTCTTAGCCATGGGACCATAGGTGACTGAGCGCGAATCTTCAACTCTCCTTCTAAATCACATGAAAAACCAAAGCAGCCACTGCAACAACCACAGCAGCGGTAGCCTTGCGCCTAGCTTCAAAGGCCATGTCTACCAAAAGGATGTAGGGCAACATTAGAAAGGGAGCATGCAACATGGGTGTGTACTGCTTAGCAAGCAAAAAATCAGATAAAATGAAATATGAAAGATGCGGCTGCCACACCAAAGGGTGTTCCTCCAGCGTATACTATTACACAATCAACATCACTGACCTCTAGGCACTTTGCTCAGTGTGTACAACAAAATAGGCATCAACATGTACAAGATCTACACAAAACATGAGGTATACACCAAATATGAAGCATCATGTACAGATCTGAGCTAGGAACAGGTAAATCAGGTATAACATCGCACAGATCTGAGGATATCAAACCAAGAACCCTAATTTCTTGGCATTGCAAACAAAATCCACAGACAAATCGACAAAATCGACACTGAAGGAGGAGGGGAAGAGCGCATGTGGCATATACCGTTGAAGCACCGGAGGACCGAGAGAAATCCGCCGGCAGTGGTCGCCTCGGTAGGGCTACCGAGGTTGAGGGGGAGCTAGAGGGGAGTTCGCACCAGAGCTATGGCAGAAGGAGAGGCGAAGAGTGAGGGCGGTAACCCTAGTCGCGACCTGCGTGCGCGCTTTATCGCCAGGACGGCCTCATCTCCCGCGCTCTCCGCAAAGGGTTTCCGCCAAGCACCGAGCGAGCCTGCACCGAGAGGGAAGTGGGGATCAAGAAAACGGCACCGTCCGGGATGGAGGAGGGAATCTGCACGAGAGGAAGCAGGAGAAATGTGCGAGTAGGGCAACCAAACACAGACGAATGTACCAAAGGGTGCAGGATGGGCCATATGACGGCCCAGTTCGGGCAACCAATCACGCCCATAACGTTTGATAAGCTGGAACGATTGTAAGAGTTTTGGAATCACTAGCCTTAGAAAGGAGATGGATCGTTCATACCGTTGCTCTTGGATGTTGCAGGCTTGCAGCGTCGTGAAGGTGAACTCCTGGAGATGAAGCCCAGCAGGCCCACGCCCAATCTGCGCGCGATCGACTCCGTCGGATGCAAATGATGGGCCTGGCCCACGTTGTACCGCTCCTGCCCCCGAAACGGCCGATGGCCCCGCACACAGCCCAGAAGAGGAGTTTGCATCCCTAAGCCCGCCGGCTCCGGCGAGGACAAACCGCCCGTTTCAAAACCAACCAACCTGCCGCGCCCGCGAGGCCGCGACGCTCGTCCGTCTCCATGTCCATGGCGCCGCACCTCGCCTCACGCCCGCGCCGTGGCGCGGCACGCCCATGATGCCGTCGCGCTGCCGGCATGGTTCACCTCGCCCGGCGCCACGGCCACTCGCCGGCGCGGCTCGGCGCCACAACCGCGCCCGCCGACGGACCTTCCGCTCCCGCTCCTCCCGCCGCCGTCGCTGGCCTCGCTGCTGCTCGCTGCCGTCGCGTCCTCGCCGTCCCTCCCGCACCTCCGCCACCTCCACGGCCTCCTCGTCCGCCTCCACCCCTACCTCCCGCCGCCGTCCACCCCGTTCCTCCTCTCCCGCCTGCTCCGCCGCCTCGCCGCGCTCCCGCTCCCACCCACGCCCACGCAGCTCCGCTACGCGGTCGCCGTGTTCTCCTCCCTCTCGCCGCCGGACCCGTTCCTCGCGGCCGCGCTGCTCCGCTTCGTGCACCTCACGCAGCCGCCCCTCGAAACCTTCCGCGTCTTCTCCCGCCTCCGCCGCGCGCACGGCCGCGACCTCCCGTTCCTCCCGTTCGCCTTCTCCCCGCTGGCAAAGTCCGCCGCGTCCGCGCGCTCGCTGCCCGCCGCGGCCGGTGCGCACGCGGTGTCGCTCTTACTCGGAGGGTTCGATAAGCACCGGTTTGTTGGGAACTCGCTGATCGGTGCCTATGTCGCCTGCGGCGACGTTGGTGCCGCGCGTAAGGTGTTTGATGAAATGATGGTGAAGGATGTCATTTCGTGGACGAGCATTGTGGTGGCGTATTCTAGGATCCGGGATATGGGTTCGGCTGAGGAGGTGTTTGCGCTCTGCCCGGTTAAGGATATGGTGGCGTGGACGGCAATGGTGACGGGGTATGCACAGAATGCCATGCCAGTGAAGGCGCTAGAGGCATTTGAGCAGATGGCGGTGGCCGGCATGCCCATTGATGAAGTTTCACTCACCGGTGCTATCTCAGCCTGTGCTCAGCTCGGTGCGGTGAGGCGAGCCGCCTGGGTTCAGGAAATCGCAGAACGGAATGGTCTTGGGAGGAACGTGGTTGTCGGGTCAGGGTTGGTGGACATGTATGCCAAGTGTGGTCTCATCGACGAGGCACGCAGGGTTTTTGAAGGGATGCAAGAGAAGAATGTGTATACCTATAGCTCAATGATTGTTGGCCTAGCATCACACGGGAGGGCCAATGATGCAATTGCTCTGTTCAAGGACATGGTTAGGAGGGCAGATGTGGAACCCAACCATGTTACCTTCATTGGAGTATTGACAGCTTGCAGCCATGCGGGATGGTAAAAAAAGGCGCTACTACTTTGCGCAGATGAAGGACATGTATGGGATATTGCCTTCTGCAGACCACTACGCTTGTATGGTTGATTTGCTTGGTCGGGCTGGGTTGGTGATTGAAGCCCTTGACCTTGTGAAATCAATGACTGTGGAGCCTCATGGTGGTGTCTGGGGGGCACTGTTAGGGGCTTGCCGAATCCATGGAAATACTGAAGTCGCTAAGGTTGCAGCTGAACATCTTTTTAAGCTTGAGCCAGAGGGCATAGGGAACTACGTGTTGTTATCAAATACACTTGCATCAGCAGGAGAATGGGATGAAGTCTCAAAGATTAGGAAGCTGATGAGAATTCGGGGGCTGAAAAAGGATCCTGCAGTGAGCTGGTTTGAAGGCCGTGATGGTTTTGTGCATCAGTTCTTTGCTGGTGATAATACACACCCATGGATGCTTGAAATAAAGAAAAGATTATTGGAGCTACGGGCAGAACTGAAGCTTGCAGGTTATGTGCCAATCCTTAGTTCAGTTGTTTATAATGTAAGCGAGGAAGAGAAAGAAAGGTTGTTAATGGGTCATAGTGAGAAGCTTGCTCTGTCATTTGGATTGCTCACACTTGAGTCTAGATCCTCAATTAGGATAGTAAAGAATCTAAGGATATGTGAGGACTGCCATTTGTTTATAAGATTGGTGTCAAAAGTTGAGCCCATCGAGATTATAGTCAGGGACAATATGAGATTTCATCACTTCAGAGATGGAGAATGCTCATGCGGTGGATTCTGGTGAATGCAGTATATGTATTATTTTATTGAGAAAAAATAAACATGTGAGAATAAACCTCCATCAATTAATGGTACCTTGTCCAACTTATTTATCTGACATGTTTTTGAATATAGGAAGGTCAATTCTGAACAGCAGAGCAAAGCTTGGAAAGCCGCTTATGAATTAAAAAAAAAGCAGTTAAATAATGGCAATCTTTGTTTGCAATGAAGAGCTACACAGGGCAGATCTAGTTGGCAATGCATGGGTAATGAGGAAGTGGGTGTTTGATTGTAAAAATGGACATGTTGATTTTGAAAAATGATACTTAAAAGCATGGAGTTCACACAATACAAATGCAAATAGTAAAGCATCAATCATGGCGGGTCACTCAAAACTACTAAGTATATTATTGAATGTAACTATAATATTATTATTGCTGTTGGAGAACTGAAAGGGAATTTTCTTTTGGTTCTTTCAAATTCAATACTTACCTAATGTTTCTATCGCTTTTGTTCTGAAACTCAAAATTATGCACAAGACAAGCAAGAACTGAATTGTCACCAATCCTTTGCTTGGCATTACATTAGTGCAGTCCTACTGTCCTAGCCATAGCAAGTATTGGTACCTGTGAGAGACTACATTTTTGGCATACAGATCATTAGTGACTAAAGAATTCTGATCAAAATCTGATGGAAGCATTTCTGGGCCTTGGTTTTTTGGTCGTGGTGCCATGGGAGTTATAAGTGCATTTTTCTTCAGATCTGTATTTCCACAAATCCACATGCCATTTTTAATGGAGGCTTCAGCTTTATCAGCATATGAAACTATGGTGTGCTGTCTTTTGCTTCTCGTGCCATCAAACTAAATGATCAGATGTTTACTAGCTTGCTCTCATCGATGCTGACCAGAAGGGTTTCTTTTCCTGCTTCCCGAGAATAGCCAGTGCGGTCTTTTTGGTGAATGTGAACTGGGGCCAATGCTTAGTTTGAGGTCAAGATCACTCTCTACAGCGGCATTCCAACTTTCATCTTCAGGTGATTTATGGTTCTCCCTGTGAAATCTTTCTTTGACTGTTGAGTTTTCTTCACTAAAGAGGCTGAGGCAGTTTACTGGCTTGCATTCATGAAGACTCAAATCTTCAGGTACTTGCTGGGGAGTTGAGTGTTGTGCATTACCAAGGCGAGTAGATTGATTTATCCCTGAGGTAGAAGGACTACTCTTGAGATTCGACCTTGATCCCTGCACCATTTCATGAGTTTCTTCTGTTCTCGGTTGATAACTATGGTTATCGCATTCAGCCATCAATGATTTTTGTACATGATACAAACGATGCAGCTCATGCACCTGATGCAAAGAAGCAGTATCAGATGCAAAAGTTCTTGTTGCATGAATGACAAGACAACTTAGGTCTGACTAACAACTGGTTGTCAACTTATCACTAGAAAGATGAAGGTTTAATGCAGCATAAGCAGTAGTATGCACTACAATATATTACAAAACTGGAGCAGTATGTTAACTTCTCGTCTATGTGTGCAAATATACCTCAGAAAATCAAAAGGCTCAGGAGTCAAGACCTATTAGGGTGCCTGATCTCCTTGCTTTCTTATGTTCTATATATTTGGTGAATCCTTAAGGATAACTAGAGTACAAGGCTACATACTACATACCTGCTGTCTGAAGACCTTATCATGCTCCATGATTGTTCTCCGAATTGAGTCCTTGTCCATTGGCTCTTCCAAGGTGCATAAAAGCTTTTGCTCACCAGCTTTCAGCAATAATTTGGTTATTTTCTGGATATTATCTCTACCTTTTATATATCTCGAGATGATTATTCCCTTTATCTCCAATAGGGTGGAGAGGATTCTGTGAATATGAAGCAAATCAATAGCCATACCTGAAACAGCCAGTTTGAAAGATCAGTACCATGTGTAGTACGCATCAGTTAGAGCCTGATAGATATGCCATAAAAATTATAACTGTAGCTTGAGTCAATTGCACTATGCTTACAAGTGAATGATGGATACTGAGATAACACTGAGCCAAGAATCAAACAAAGAGAAACTGAAGATTTACTCACCTGTATCCCTGATTCTCATGGTCCAGCTGCTTACCTCGCATTTTTCCTCTTCTTTGGTCACAGATCATAGCCACTGGCAATCTCCATATGTTAGCAGGGACACAGAATGGGAGGTGACTTGCTCAACTCTATCCTCAGCACCCATTACTCATTTCAGAGCCTAACTGCGGGAGAGTTCACTTTGTGGGTAGCTTCCACGCTCTCTCTCTCCTTGTGCTTATGAAGCAAACAGCGTCCTTTTGTACTAGAAACAAGAGATGCCAACCAAAAGTGAAGAAAAGCTAGTAATGCAATGGCTGACAGGCTGTGTGAAGCTGAAGGGTAAGCAGGATATAAGGGCGGCAGTGCAAAAGGATGAGAAGCTGGAGATCGTTAGTTAGCAGGAGGTATGCTGCGTCGCTATTTGTTTATCAAACTCGAGGAAAGATCAGGAAGTGCAGCCAGCAGCCAATTGGAGAGCCAAATCTGGTTGGTTTAATGAAACAACAAGCCAACCTAAAAACATGTGAAGCAGATATGCCACGCAGGTTTTGCCGGGATTAAAGATATCAGGATTTTTGGACTTGGGCAACCTCTCTCTCTCCATCTGATAGATAAGCTAGGCCATACATATCTTCACATGCTTGTAGTTTGCAGTGGAGATCTGAAGATACCAGGGGCCCACAGCCATGAGTTATCCTAGGCTGTCCATCCTCGTTGCAATCCCAACTCTGGGATCTGCCCACAGCCTCAGAAAAGTAAATTGCCGTTTAAGCTTCCATGTGCGTTGCAAATCCTTTACTTTGTGTGTCTGTGTGTTTTTTTAACCTGGACAGGTTGTTGCTCTACTGCCCCCCACTGCATGTTCCGTCACTGTCCCTGCCTTCCCAGTATTCTTGGACGGCTGGATCTCAAAACCAAGATCTTGTTGATTCGTTCATCCCACCGACACAGGTACTAAACTAATACCTCTTCCTGATCTGAATCACACTGGAGTTGCTCAGTTGACTTGCTACACACCAGGCTGTTGATCCGTTCATGATTCGATGCAGTAGCCAGTACCTATGAAACTCCTGATGTGCATGATATTCTAAACGTTAATCGGGTTTGACTTTTTTTTTTGAGTTCCTGGATGCCCTTGATCAATCTTTCCCTGCCTTGTCAGCAGCCTTGCCACATGAATGTTATGTAGAGCTTAACACGATTTTCTGTTGTGTGTGGTACACAAATAGGACAGTAGGAGTACAGCATAGGATAAGGTTATGCCGCCCATCACCTGGCTTTCCAGGATTCCTTTGTCAACAACTAAAGATTTAAAATGCCGGGACCAATGATAGGCCTATATATGGTGCTTGCTATCTAGGGGGTTTCCTAGCTTCCCCGCAAAAGAAGGGATTTTGAAATCACAGTCCCTGTTCCCTGAAAAGGATAAGCACTTAGATAGCATCTTTAAACCCTTGACGTTCATTTTTTTCAATTTGGAAAAGCAAAAGTTCTATTTAGGTCGAGTCACAACTAAACACTAGTATACCTCATTGGTTAAAGTAGCATGTAGGCTTAGCCACCCCTCACCAGTGTGACATCAGTGCTGGTGCTCTTCCACGTATTGATCCCTATATTTATCCGTTTGTTGAGTTCAAAGAATATATGATATCCGAAAACTAAATATCTTGTTTCGAAAGTTGGAAAGGAACTTTGCAGCGCCATGACCGTCCACGTACCACGCGAAAGCAAAAACCAGCAGCATGAGCTCATATACGCGGATAAGCTTGACAGCGATCAGATGGTTCATAGACATCAGACAGAACCGACTAGCTGCTCATAAAAGTTAGAAACGAATCATGTTTAAATTTCTTTGGCACTGTTTAGAAATCCTGTTACACATGGCAAAGATTTGCATGCATCTCAGAGCTAACCTGTATATTATGAAAGGAAAACAGAAATTGCAGGTACACATGGAAATGAGCATGTGCAGATGCCAAATCGCAGACTCTGATGCTACCGCATGGCAAAGATTGGCATGCATCTCAGAGCTAACCTGTATATTCTGAAAGAAAATCAGAAATTGCAGATACACATGGAAACGAGCATGTGCAGATGCCAAATCGCAGACTCTGATGCTACCGCTCTGAGATGGAATCAAACGCAGGCAGAGATCCCAAATGAGGAGGACCAGCCAGCAGCAGCAGCAGGAGCCAAATAATGTAAGCAACTATCTGTCACAGCAGCGCTCCCCTCCAAAGGCCGACAGGCTACCTGTCGTTAATCCTTTTCATTGGCGTCGTGATCTGCACAGTTGATGCAGCCATGTATGCCTAATGCCTCTGCTCTTGGGCTAGAGCAAGAGCGCCATCAAACTGGCTGGCTCTGGGCTGTGGCTCGGCTCACATGAACCACACACCCACGCCGTGGCATGCAGTCCACGCTTGGTGAAAACATCTTTGGATGCACGTACCCATCAGCTGCTAGCCATGGCCATGGGATACTTGCAATTTGCAAACTCCGCTCTGGTTCCGGTCAGATCTATATATCTACTTGCAGATGCAGATCAGGCTAATTGTTCAGTGGAGTGCAGTTTTCGTGCGCTTTCTCGGTTCAAGTCTTTATCTTTTTGTTTATCTCATCAAGTGGATGGATTGCGAGTAGTGGTATGCATGGTAAGCGATTCCATTGCTGCATTGCGTCCCTTTGGGTGGCGTTTCTGTGGCTAGGATCAGTTGGGGGAGATATCTGCGCCCACATCGCTGATTTGGACAGACTTCTGACCTGAAAACCTGAAATGGACTCGCATTTTCACCCAGGTTCTGTTCTATCCATGTTGGTAGCGAAGACTTTTCTGCTTCCTTCCATATATGGTGCTGTGCTGTTCGGGAGGCCGTATCGTATCGTGGATTATTTACTGCTGGCTGGTTTGGTGTGAGAGAAAAATACTGTTCCCGGCTGGAAATTTACGATCGTTTACGAGCAAGCGAACAGGCTGCGCGGACATGTATTCCGAGGCAGGAAAAAAAAATTCAAGGTCTGTGCAGTACATGTGCCATTTTATTAGTTTTCTTATTATTTTTTTCACCCAAGGAATTCCATATAGATTCATTGTACTTGCTAAAATTCATGTCCCTGAGTTTTAGTTTTCTTTAAAATTGCAGCTTTAGTTCGTTGTAATTTTGTAGGCACAATTTGTAGTTTTTGTTTCCGAGAATAGAAAAAACCATCAGACAAAACCACAAATCTGACAAAATTTGATTTGCATTGACAAAGACAAATAAAAATTTGCAATTGGTACTATAGTGAGACACGGGATGGAATGGCAAAATGCTGGACAGAACTGGCACTCTAGCAGGCGTACTTTGGTCACCACAGTACTATCCTCAATGCCTACCTACCGCATCACCATGTTCCCCCTAGCCGTTTGGGCAAGAAAAAAGATAGACAAAATCCAAAGATCATTTATTTCTTTAGAAGGGAGACGAGAATGCCAATGGAGGCCACTGTCTAGTAAATTGGCCGACCGTCTGCATGCCCCACTTGGGGGGAATGGGGTGCCGGACTTGGAGAGATTTGGGAGGGCGTTGCGCCTCCGATGACTGTGGCAGGAATGGACGGATGACTCAAGACGTGGGTGGGAACGGAAGTACCATGTAAGGATATAGATCGCCTCCTGTTCAATGCCTCCACCACGGTCACAATTGGCAATGGACACAAAGCCCGGTTCTGGCATCACGTTGGCTAGAAGGGGAGGCTCCCAGATATCTAGCTCCTAACCTATTCAAGCTGGCACGCAGAAAAATAGGACGGTCAGCCAAGAATTACACAATGGGAGTTGGATCATATAGTTGCGGATGCGTATCACAACAATTGCACAAATCAGGTAGTTCATCGATCTGTGGATCAGATTACTAGATGTGCAGATGTAGGAGGGCGTGCAGGACTCAATCACTTGAAAGTGGACGGCTAGCGAAAATTACTCCACTTGCTCGGCTTATATTTACAATTTCGATGTTCACATCCGAAATTTCTGCATAACCTCATCTGGAAAGCACATGCAGAAAGCAAATGCAAAGTCCACGCTAGGATCCTCATGCATGATAAAATCGTAACGGCAGATAATCTTTAGACGAGAGGATGGCCACACCTGGAGCACTGTGTCATGTGTAATGGACCCCTGGAGACAGGGGTGCATCTCTCCTTGCTGTGCCCTTTTGCTAGAGCAGTTTAGAACCAAGTTCTGTCCTGGAAAAATTTCAGTGTGCAGCTACCACAGGCCGTATATGCTTTGCCAATTGGTGGGAGAAGGCGGCAAGCAAGGTACCAAACAAGACCGAAGGCGGTCCAATGGAATCCTCATTTACATTGTATAGAACTTGTGGAAGGAGATGAATAGGAGGATCTTCGACAAAGCCTATAAAACGGTCCAGCAGGTGGCCTCCTTGAAAAAAGAGGATATAATGCAATGTCGGAGGGCTGTGTCCTTTTATGGGTAAATCCACTTAAGAGTCGGGTATGTCTTTACTTTTCGGTCTTACGACCATAGTGTTGGCATCAGGGGTGCCTCCTGTACATAAAACTCTTACCTCTTACTTAATTGAGCGGCAGAGCTCCTTTCTTTTATTTTAAAAAAACTATAGTGAGACAAGGACATAAACAGATATGTTATGACACAAAGACAAATAATAAATCATAAAAATAATAATTTACTTGTACTAATTGATGGTACAAGAGTGTTGTCTGAAATCATATTAAAATTTAATCACCTTAAATATTAGAGAAGGTATTTATATATACTACTTGGCGGCTGGCGCATCAATTATATATGGTCTAGCCCTCGAATGCACGAGATAATGATGTCTCGGAATAATTTCCTCATGTTGCTGACATGTCATGATGGTTGGTGCTCGTAACAAAATGCTGTTTCCTGGCTTCCTGCTATGCATCAGTTGTGATTGTGTCGTATGCCCATACCGAGGCTTTCCGCGAAATTTAGGAATTTGGCTACTGTAGTACTTTTGTTTTTATTTGGCAATTAGTGTTCAATCATAGACTAATTAGGCTTAAAACGTTCGTCTCGCGATTTCTCACCAAACTGTGTAATTAGTTTTTTTCCGTCTACATTTAATGCTCCATGTACGTATCGTAAGATTTGATGTGATGTCTACTGTAGCACTTTTTGGGAAAACTTTTTGAACTAAACAAGGTCTGACTGTAGTTTGCATGGATGGGGACCTACACCTACTTCTCTTTAATAAATCAGTCTATGCCCATACTGGTTTAACACGTTCCGACGTAATCATCATCGTCATTCAACCATCAAAATCTGCACATAGCACAGTCTACAGTCAAGCCAATTATCGGGGAGTTCAGCTGGCCTTTGGAGCCCAGAAAGGGCCAGTTGAATCGTTGAAAAACAGCCCAAAAAACCCTGTCTTTCTTTTGGTCAGGTTCGATCGTTAAGAGTGGACTGGGCTGGCAGTAATATTGGGCCCTAGTTGCTTTCTATAAAAGCAAGAGAAGATTAACCTCCGTCAAAAAAAGAAAGTTATAGTAGGCCATGGGCTCTGGACCGTAGATCTGCATGCTCAAAAGTTTCACCCCAACAAGGCCTCGGCGACGACGGCGAACCACAACATCCAGCCATCCAGGAAACGAATGAATCAGCATCGGACAACCAACTCCCCTCATCTCTTGGCTGCCGAAAAAAGATCGGCAGAGACTGCAGCTCCCCCCTCGCAGCCACCCTCCGCGGCAAGGTAACCTCACCTCGTCACCTCAGCCGTTCTTCCTCTTGGCTGCCTCCGCCACTGAGCTGCCCGTGATTTTCTCCCCAGAGTTCCCCAAGCTCCCTCGCCCATGGCCGGCTCAGCTTCAGCCACACGTCGCTGCAGACGACGTCCGACCACCTACGACACCGAGCAGGTCTGTTCGTCACAGTTTTTTCCTCTTTTTTTCTTCTGCAAAGCATGCAACAAGTGCAAGTCTGAACGATCACTGTATGCGTTCAAATGATGCTCACGTACAGCGATCAAATAACTTCTGAATCAGCACCGAGAGGGCCACCAAATGTGCTTTATGACCACACACACAAAAATACCAATTTCCTTGGGGAAAATTTTCAAATATAGGTACATTATGTACAGAGTTATCTGAATTTTCATATGATTTGACTCAAAGTTATCAAACCCCAGTTCAATCAAATACACGAAAAGGGCAAAATTATCTCTACTCCGAAATACAGCATCGATTCACATATCCAGACTGAGCCATGGGTGGAATTTGAGGAAATAAATGTTTGTTTCTGTCAAAGATGCCCATTAACATCAACTCACACTAAAAGTAACTCATACATATGATGGCTATTTCTTCATTATTAATGCAACAAACAAGCATCCAACAAATACCCTCATTCACTATAGATTTTTCCAGTCACTGATCCAAAAATGTTGCTCCAAAAGAACTAGGTCCTCAAAAAGAAATACACAGAACAGTGAAACTATTTCCCCAATACCACTGGGGAACTATGGCTGATTCCTAGCACACCATCAGCCTGTTCGCTGGTTGATTTCTGGGCTGATAAGCCCGGCTGGTGCTGGTTTGTTGTGAGAAAAAAACAATGTACCATGACTGATAAGCCATGGCTGAAACCAACAAGCGAACATGGCGCATAATTATAAATATGAAAGGTGAAGAGTTATGATGAGCCCGATAGTGGTAATCCTTTTGCAGCAAGCAACAAACATATTCTCATATGCTCTTCACAATACTCTATGGTTTGAAGTTGCATGATAATATGAAGGTACAAGATTAATATTTTATTTATAGGAGGACAAGATCTGGCACCTGAGGAACGCCGAATTCATCTTTCTAGGATTTGGTACTATCCAGATGGGGGCTGGCCAGTTGGACCAAATCCGAGGAGAAACAATTTTCTCGCTAATTTTATTACCCAAGTTAAAAACTCCTATTTTACGTACTTTATTCTTAAATCCATGACATGTACTCATCATCATCAGTAAAGTAGACATGATTCCCCTTCCACTGCAGATATATTCTTTGGCACATAGACAAATTGATTGGTTAACCCCAAGAAATAGTATGTTGTCACCCAAGCAACTTATCTCCACAAGCTTCATTGCTGTCAAGTTCACTCTATATACTTTGAACACAGTGGTATAGTGTCTATATGGCACAGTGTCTACCTCAGATTCTGATTCATCTTCTGATACTGAGAAATATTCATCATCATCTGGTGGGTCTAAATCAGGCTCAGAAACATCTTCGACCTCCTGATCAGAATATTCACTCACCTTCCAAATTTGCAGCAGATCTCCGCATGGAGCTTGAGCAATGTACACTTTAGGAGGGAGGCAGCCCTTAAGCCCCTCCATGACAGCTCGTGGTTTTACTGCAGGGTCATATAGATTGTATGCATGGATTCCTCCATCAACTAACAATGCATACAATAGCTCATCCTTGAAAGCACAATCTGTATAGCAAGAATGATATGGCAACCAAGTCCAGTGTTCATCCCCGCCTCTCGCAAATGAAATCTGCCAGTATGGGTGATGGATGAGCACTACAATGTAGTTTCCTGTGGACGGATCAGAGGACAAAAATGCCTTGTGAAATATATAGTCCCGCAGCTTGTCAAGGCGCAAGACTGATGGTGGGTCGAGTTCACCGTGGGTCCCGGTGTACCTTGAGTACTTGTACATGTGAATAGCACCGTTGCTCACCTGCTCAATGGTGGTGACGGAAGGGAGGGCAATCTGGTCACGTGTGATGGGGTTGACAAGGTGAAGCTCAGACGTCTCGTCGGCGGTGACAACCCAACCGTAGGCAGAGCCAATCAGGTACCTGCTACGGATCGTCTGGGAGAGTAAATGTGTATGGCTTGTTCTCCACGAGGCTGTAGAAACCTGCAGCGCTTGCACCTGAAGACTTATTGGTGTATATGAGGCTTGGTGTTTGTGGCTGAATACTAGCCCCAAGTTTCCGAAGGCAATTGTAGGCATGGAGCCAAGAGGAGCAGACAGAGCCTGCACGGACAAGGTCAGGAACCTCAAGAGTTGCAAATATCTTCATCAAGACGTCCTCCGACAGCCCCCCTGACATGACACCAAAAATGTTGGGAGTCTGATGTAGCTTCTTTTACAACTGATGAAATACTTGGATGATGAGGTGTGGTGAACCCTCGTCCACTTGTGTGTGGTGAACCCTCGTCCAACTGATATATATATATATATATGAAAACCAGTCTGGATCCAAGAACTGTGGAAATATCAAAATGGGCAGTATACAACTTCTGCTAGAGGATCCCAGTTACTCAGCCGCTTCGGATCAGAAATTGTCCAAAGATATGGGTTGCATACGTCTCCTGCTAGAGGATCCTATTTATTCAGCCACTTGGGATCCAAAATTGTCCAAAGATCCAATTTTTTATGCTATATATAAAATAAAGTTAAATGCACCAGAGGTCCATTAACATGTGAGGAGCTTTCGGTTAGGTCCATCAAGTGGTTTTTTGGGTCCATAAACTTTGTATATCGTATTACTTTGTATATCAAGTGGTTTTTTGGCTTCTCATGCTGACTAGGAGTTGTTGCGCGCCGCGACAGCGTCCCCGGCGCGCCGAGCAGCGAGCCCGACAGCGCGTTGCCGCTCACGTCGAGGTGGACCAGCGAGCGCATTGCGCCCAGCCTCAGCAGGGGCCCCGTGAGCGCGCTGTGCTGCAGCTCGAGCCGCGTCAGGACGCCCAGGAGCGCCAGCTGCGGCGGTACCCCGCCGGAGAAGCCGTTGCGGGAGAGGTAGAGCTCCTGCAGCGCGGAGAAGGCGGTGAACAGGGACCCTGGGATGGCACCGGAGAAGGCGTTGTTCGGCGGCAGCGGGACCCCCGGGGGGAGCTCGCTGTGGAACCGGTTGTCGGCGAGGGACAGCGACGCGAGGAAGGGGAGCGAGGACAGAAGGCGACTGCACGGTGCCGGAGCTGGAGGCGCCGCCCTTGTTGCGCAGCACGCCCTCGACGCTGGCCGGGCCGTAGCCGACATGCAGCTGCTGCCCCAGCGCGCCGACCTGGCCGTGCAATGCCATCGGCAGCTGTTGCTGCTGCACCGACGGGTCACCCTGATGTTGCTGCTGTCGGTTGAAGTAGAGCACGCCGCCCCGGACCCTTAGCTCCTCGGCCTGCTTCGCCATCTCCAGCTGCTACAGCGACGGCGACAGCGAGAGGGACAGCCCCTGGCCTTCCACGACGCCGGTCCCAGCGCCGCCGAACGGGGCCCCGGCGGCGCCGAAAGCCTGGAACGCCTCGTGGTGCTGCTGCACGTCCGACGGCGGCGGCGGCGATCTAGACTGCTGCTGCTGCTGTGGGTTCATCAGGAAGAGCTGCATCGCGAGGCCGGGTCAGTGGCCAGGTCAGCCATGCTGCCTGCTTCGGGGACGACGTTTCACCTAATGAGCCCATGCTGGCCCCACCGAGGACCAAGCCAGCACGACCCGCCGCGCCGGCCCCGAACCAACCGCCGTCGCCGCCGGACAAGCCGGCCACCCCTCCGGGCCCGGCCTGCTGCTGTCGTAGCCCGAAGCGGTAGTTGGCGCTCATCTGGCTGGCTCGTACATGGACCCGGGCCCGCCATGCTCGTCGCCGTCGAGAGGGAGCAGGCCGTGCCAGGCGGCGGCGGCCGGGTCGAAGTCCTGCACCCTCAGCTTGTCGCGGAGGCTCTGCTGCGCCACGTGCTCGTGCTGCTGCTGCTGCTGATGGTCCTGGTGGTGGCTGGAGTCCGGGCGGTTGAAGCCATCGGAGGAGTAGCCGTAGACGCCGCTCACGAGCTCCTCCTTCCTGCACATCGTCGGCGGGATCCCGGCCACGACCTCCTCCTTCCTGCACAGCTCACGAGCAGTAGCGCCATCGTAAGCACCGGCCAAAGGGAAAGCGAGTATATTTGTATGACAAAATGCATTGGCATAGGGCTGCTTGATTGAGCATAGTCATCATATCACATCAGCATGAAAAGTCAACGTGAAAAAGTATGGACCGTGATACGACATTCAAAATTTATGAACCCAAAAAACCACTTTAGAAGTTGATGAACCTAACCGAAATCTCCTCACAGTGAACTTTAACTCTGTAAAATACAAGACCGGCGGCAACGGTGAAACACCGATAATATACAATTTTTGCTACACGATCCCTGTGGATTTCGTCGTTTGGGATCCGATTCTGTTGCACCACTGGCAAAAATGCCACGTAACATTGACATCAGAGCTTGCCACACCGTATCCAAGGACCTGAGTGAAACAAGCATGTCAACGATTAATCAGGAAACGGAAAGCGCTAGACCACCAGGGTAGTACGCACCTTACTCAGTTACCCCTGCCGTGGCCAGAAGTTCCCCGCCGCGTCCTCCGGCGAATTGCGAGAGGGGTCGAGCGTCCGTTCGGATAGTCACGCCCGATCTTGGGGATCGGGTAACAAGCGGTCGCTGGGGTTGGCGCCCCAAGAGGAACACATGTGATGGTAGAGGGTAACAGGGGAATCGGATTAGTCGGCGACGGCGGCGGTGAGAGGAGGCGATGGTACTGCAGACTATGGTGACAAGGCGGTCCTGTTCGCTTGAACTCTTATTAGCCATTGTATAGCGTATTTCTCTGACAACAAATCAAATACTTTTTAGCGAAGCGAAGAGAACTCTGGTTGACAGTTCGAGGGCGTAAAATATTTTAAAAATAAATTATGCAAATATTTTTTTTCTTAGAAAAATAATGAAATTCCTAAAATCTAATTTAAACTTAAAAATTATAGAAAATTTATATTAGATCAGAAAAATACGAAACTAGCTTCATATTATCCCTAAAATCATGTTTTTCTTTTGGTGCCTTTTTGAGCAATACTAGTTTCCAGGTGAGAATTTTTTTTAACCTTTTTCTTTAAAACAAATTTCAATATTAAAATCATTTTTTTCTTCAAATTTAACCAGTTTGCCCGCGCCTAAGTCTCTAACGCGGCCAAAACACGTTGCCGCGCTATATGCATCGGCGCGGCGTGATTTGCCGAGATGGACAACGATTTTCACGTGGAAAACCTTGCCGCGCCACTCCCGTTGACGCGACAACACTGTAGAGCCGCGCCAACCAAACTGACGCAACCTTAGAAAAATTGAATCTTTTTTATACGATCTCGGATGAAGATGATTTATATATAAAAATTGCAGCCCTCTATGAGATCCACAACTTTCTAGTTTTGAGTTTTTTAATTTGAGGTTGTTAAGATACTCAAAAAATTAAATAAAATTTCAGCAGTAAATTAATCGTGTACAAACGTTTGTCGTCTTGGAAAATCATATCTTTCTTATATGATGTCAAATAGAGATATTTTCTTATGAAAGTTGTAGCTATTAATAGGATATACAACTTTATAGTATAGAGTTTTTTAATTTGAGTTCATTAAGATGATCTAAAAAAATAATATAATGTTTTAGCAACTTATTAATCGCGTATAAGCTCTTGTCGAAAAATCATATCTTTTGTACGACACCAAATGAAGATACTTTTTTATGCAAAAGTTGTAAGCCTTAATGAGATCTACAACTTTATAATTTTAGCTTTTTCATTTGAGATCTACAACTTTATTGTTTATCATCTTAATGAAAAAACTTTAAAGTTTTTTTTTCGCGGTGAAACTAAGATCTTAATTTCCTCATGTTCTATAAAGCCGATATATTTATAATATACATACCTGGCGGCTGGCGCATCAATTATATATGGTCTAGCCCTTGTCGAATGCACGAGATAATGATGTCTCGGAATAATTTCCTCATGTTGCTGTCATGTCATGTTGGTTGGTGCTCGTAACAAAATGTTGTCTCCTGCTATGCATCGGTTGTAGATCGTGTCGTGTGCTCATGCTGATTGTAGTTTGCATGGATGGGGACCTACTTCTCTTTAATAAATCAGTCTATACCCATACTGGTTTAACGCGATCCTACGTAATCATCATCATCCTCATTCAACAATCGAAATCTGCACATAGCAGATAGCACAATCCACAGTCCAAGCCAGTCACCAAAAAAAAACCACAGTCCATGCCAATTGTCGGCGAGTTCAACTGGCCTTTGGAGCCCAGAAAGGGCCAGTTGAATCGTTAAAAACAGCCCAAAAACACTGTCTTTTTTTTTTAGTCAGGTTGCAATCGTTAAGAATGGGCTGGGCTGGCAGTAATAGTGGGCCCTAGTTGCTTTCTATAAAAGCAAAGTTTTCACCTCCGTCAAAAAAGAAAGTAATAGTGGGCCATGGGCTCTGGACCGTGGATCTGCATGCTCAAAAGTTTCAGCCCAACAAGGCCTCGGCGACGGCGAACCACATCCATCCAGGAAACGAATGAATCAGCAACGGACAACCAACTCCCTTCATCTCTTGGCTGCCGAAAAAAGATCGGCAGAGATTCAGATGAGGCTCTGTCTCCGGCAAGCAGCGGCCGCGGCCACCAGCTCCCCCCTCGCCGCCACCCTCCGCGGCAAGGTAACCTCACCTCGATCGCCGACCTCACCCGTTCTTCCTTTTGGCTGCCTCCACCACTGACCTGCCCGTGGTTCTCTCCACAGATTTCTCCAAGCTCCCTCGCCCATGGCCGGCTCAGCTTCAGCCACACGTCGCTGCAGACGACGCCCGGCCACCGCGGACTCCGAGCAGGTTTGTTCGTCACAGTTTTTTTTTTCTTCTGCAAAATCATAGTCACAGGCTCACAGCATGCAACAAGTGCAAGTCTGAACGATCACTGTATGCTTGCGTGTAACCTGCTGCAGGGTGGGCGGTGCGCGTGCTTCCGCTGACGGAGGAGAACGTGGAGAAGGTGCTGGACGAGGTGCGGCCGAGCCTGATGGCGGACGGCGGCAACGTGGCGCTGCACGAGATCGACGGCCTCGTCGTCGTGCTCAAGCTGCAGGGGGCGTGCGGCTCCTGCCCCAGCTCCACCATGACGCTCAAGATGGGCATCGAGACGCGCCTCCGCGACAAGATCCCCGACATCCTCGAGGTCGAGCAGATCGTCGACACCGAGACCGGCCTCGACCTCACCGCCGACAACGTCGAGAAGGTCAGCAGCTCTCTCAGACGCAAGCCTGCAAATTAAAAGACTGTGCTCTGCTGCAACAGATGATCGTGATCAAACTGTGATTCTGATTTCTGAGGACTGTTTGTTCATGCAGGTGCTTGATGAGATCAGACCGTACCTCTCCGGCACTGGAGGTGGAAGCCTCGAGCTTCTCCACATTGATGGATATGCCGTCAAGATCCGGATCACCGGTCCTGCAGCTGGTGTAATGACAGTACGAGTAGCTGTGACACAAAAACTGAGGGAAAAGATACCTTCCATCTTGGCTGTTCAGCTCACAGAATAGAAACGCGAGAGTCGTTTGTGCACCAATCTGCAGAACGAAATGCGGCATTCTGGTGATCGTTCAGTCTTCAGTCTTATATTTCTGTCGTTATTACAATGAATTACAGAACTGAATATACAATTGTCATGCAATAATTCTTTGACGTGACAAAGAAAAGTATCTTTTAGTTGGACAGAGCAAAGCTTACAACGCTTTCAAGTATATAAAAGATATTATTCAACAAACATAATCTCCCACAGTTATTAAATCAATGAGACAATGACTAATCATCAGTTACAATTTACAATGGATCACATCAATGTATCAATTTCAAATTTGAAGTGCCTTGTCTAGACAGGCAAAGCTTTTTCCGCACAACTGAAAATAGGAGCTCCTTCACTTCCTCACAAAACTGACTGCTTCAGTCAGCTACCCATTCATTCCTTGTTCTTTAGGGTTCTATAAAGCTCGGCCATTGCTACATTTCACCCTTGACATCAGAAGCCATCATTTACTCAGGAAAAGCAACCACAAGAGTGCTCAAACAGCTTCTTCAGTTTGATGACCGTACAATTTTATCACCACCATCATTTGGCTGACCTTCTCAACCTTGCCAAGTTCACATTTGGCTGATCTTCTCAACCTTCCCAAGTTCCCACATCAACCTTATATATAAACCCTTCTAGAACCCTAAATCCTTGCCTCTGCAAGTACTTGAATTCTTTTATGCTTTAATCAAGTGGCTCTCTGGTGAGATTTCCTATTTCAGCCTCATAGTTCTGATTTCTATGTGCAACGTGACTATTATAATTGTTAAGTACAAGAATTCTCTGACTCGACAAAACAGAAGTCATGAGTTTGTCAAAAAAGAAAAAGAAAAAAATCACAACCTTAACTCTGAAAGATAATCAAATAAACTTCCAAGTTCCAACTGTTGTTAATTCAGTGTATAATCATTACATTTTGCACCGGATAATATCAATCGCCTCTTCTTGGCAAAGGCCAAACTCTTTCCACAGAACTGAAACTTCAGTTTCTAGAGCTGAACATACTTCCAGGCTTCCAGCAATAAACCCTTCGCTGGGTCCAAAACTCTTAACAGTTAGAAGCTTCTCCATATCTGGTACACTGGGACTCTCAAATTGCCAGCTTCTAGATACACATTTATTCCCTGGTATCCACAGATGTAAAAAGCTTGGCCACTGCAACATTTCACCCTTGATATAACAGTTAACACAATCCAATGATTTCCTCAAGGAAAAGCAATTGCAGTAGTGCTCCTGCTCACACAGCCTCTTCTTCAATCTGATGCCCCTCCAGCTGGGCAGCCTTCATCATTTGCCTAATCTCCTCAACTTTCCCGTATTCCCGTGTCTGCCTTAAAAACCCTTCCAAAACCCTAAATGCTCGCTCTGTTGGTGCCATCCCCATCTCGATTATTTCCCTGAAACACCTGTATGCCTCAGAAACCACACCTCTACAGCATAAACCGGTAACCAGAATGTCCAATGCATGCCGGTGAGGTACACATCCCTTTCCCATCAGATAATCCCACAGCTCCAGCCCAAGGTCAGGTCGTCCATTCTCACAGAAGACCTTCATGAGCAGCATCGTCGTCCTGGTCCTCGGCATAAACCCTGAGCTAACCATCTTGCTGTACACTTTCCAGATCCCCTCCAAGTCGCCAACTCTCTGAAACCCGCAAAGCATCGTGTTGTAGCTAACATCATCTAGACCGATCCCCTTCCTCTCCATGTCACCCATCACCGCCATCGCAGACTGCAAATCCCTAGCCCTCACATACGCGCCCATGAGCGCATTATGAGCACCACGGTCAGGAGTCGCTCCCCACTTCTCCATTTCATCAAACAGGAGGCGTGCTCTCGCCGCGCTCCTCACAATCCCAGCTCCGTATATCAATGTAGTGAACACCTGCAGCGTGGGCTTGCAGTCCCCCTTGTTGCGCATTTCGTCGAGCAGCTCGAGGGCGTCCAGGAACCTGCCTTTCTTGCAGTAAGCGTCTATCCTGACGCAGTACGACACGGCGTCCGGCACGAAACCCCGCAGCACGGCGTCATGGTAGAAGAGGTCCAGCGCGTGGGCGTGTCCGGCCTCCTTGAACCCGAGCAGCAGCGTGTTGAACGTGCGCGTGTCGGGCGGGTACGCGTCGCAGTAGCGGTGGAAGAGCGCGCGGGCCTCGGCGACGCGGCCGCGGGCGCAGAAGGCGCGGAGCAGCGCATTGAGCTCGGCGGCGCCGAAGGCCTGCCAGCGCGCGCCCAGACGCGGGCGGCGGAGTCGAAGCAGGTGACGGCGGCGTCGAAGGACGCGCCGGGGCGGACGCGGAGAGCGCGGTCGAGAGGAGGACGGCAAGCGCGGGCGTGGTGAGGAGGTGCGGGTGCGTGGACGGGAGGGACTCGAGCAGCGGGAACGAGAGGTGGGCGTGGCGGCGGGAGCGCGCGAGGAGGCGGAGCAGGGCCGGGAGGGAGCTCTCCGGCACCGAGAAGTGGCGGAGCGCAAGGAGGCGGCGGTACAGGGAGAGCGCCGGGAGCGGCGGCGAGTGCGAGAGGAGGAGGTGGGAGAGGAGCGGCGTGAGGAGGGCCGGGCAGGCCGGGAGGAGCGCGAGGAGGAGCGGAGGGGTGTCCGGCGCATGGGCGAGGAGGAGACGCGCGAGGTGGGGGACGGTCGGGGTGAGGAGTGGCGCGGCGGCGGGAGGAGGCGGAGGGGCATGGGGCGGGGCGTGGTGTGGCCGGTGCGGAGAGGGACGGGAGAGCTCGAGGTGGGTGGGCTGATGACGTTGAGGTTGGGCTAGCCTGAGCCCAGACAGAAGTGTTCGTGGGCCGGGTCGTGGAACCAATCGTGGGAGGGTACCTGTGGATCTGTCTCACTGTCTACCAGCGGCATGACTTCCATTTATTTTTCACCTTTTCAGCACTTTCGAACAAAGCATAAATTCTTTAACCTTTTCAAAAGTTATTGTGTTTTGTAGGAAAAATTATGTTTGGGCTATTTTTATTGTATTATGTTTCCATGTTTTTATTCTGAAATGAGAACCGGTGTTCAAGCAGTGAAACCTCACAGTGAAAGAGAAAGAAAGGAAGTAAAAAAGACTGAGAACGTGTTTGGAACACAGGGAGGTAAAACATAAGAATGAAAAAAATTATAGGAAGAAAGGACAAAATTTAAAAACTATAGGATTCCAAAACAAAGAAAAAATAAAACTTAGGGTGTATGGATTGCATGAAAAGTTTTTGGTTTTGTCTAGAGTCAAGAAATGAAAAGACATATATGAATGGAAATATATATATATATATATATATATATATATATATATATATATATATATATATATATATATATATATATATATTGTCGGGTACCTTATAACGGGGTACCCCAAGCAAATATCAAAATAAAGCTAGAAGGTAAGCCGTGGGCCTCTCACCTGCCACGACCGAGCCCTCCTCCACCTCGCCTCGAGCCTCGAGCAGGAGGTCTCGGAACAAACTCCGCCTCGCGCGAGGCTCCCTAGGGTAGGTCTCGGCAGGGGGCGCCGTCTCCGTCTCGCCCGAGGCTATCCAGGGAAGGCCTCGGCAGGGGTACATTCTCCGTATCACGCGAGGCGTCTCGCACAAGGCCTCGGCAAGGAACTTGATCTCCGTCTCGCTCGAGGCCTCATTCTCCGTGTCGCTCGGTCGGGCTCGCTCGTCCATGATCCGTCGCCCCGCCTCGGCCGACCCTCCCAACAACTCGTCATGTCTCATTAATGCTTCAACCACTCCCATAATCTCAGTAGGACGGTGGCTCAACGCCACAGGATGACCGACGCGACCGAGAGTCGCATCGGTATCCTCTCGGTACCGGGCGGGACAGGTACGACGGGTTACCGCCACCTTGTGTCCTACCACTGTGTCCACGATCGGCGCCATACCGGCCGGACGAGGCACAGACGGGATTACCGCCACTTGTGTCCCACGATCGGCGCCATACCGGGTTTGGGACAGAGACGACGGGGATTACCGACCACTTGTGTCCAAACGCTGTACCCATGATCGGCCGCCCGCTCAAGGCCTCGGCAGCTTTGTACACGGGGCCTCGGCGATCTTGGGGTTCGTGGCTCGCCGAGACCCCCCCACATGATGCCGGCCTCGGCATCGACCAAGTCTCGACCTCGCGCACATCCGTCCCACGATTGGCTTGCGTTCGCGCGCCAGCGTCCACTCCGAGGCATTCCGGGCTCCCACGACGCCTGAGATCGATGGGATGACCACGCCGCCCAAGATACTCAAGGATGGACCACTCCGGCGGCCACACCGCCACGAGAACAGGCTACAGGGGCTCGGACGGACACGCCGCCTCTGTTCACACGACGCCGTATAGTTAGCTCATGTACCGCCCTAGTCCTCCCTTCATGCTATAAAAGGAGAGGACCTGGGTTGTTTTAAGGGGGGACACCTTGTAACACACACACACACACGCACACACTCCTGCCGCCTGAGAGCAACGTCTCAAGCGGCCCGCACGACACCCCGCCGAGACCTAGGACCAGCTCCTTCTCTCCTTTAGCTTGTAACCCCCTACTACGAGCACCTCGGTGCAAGGAATACAAGATCGATCTCTCAGACTGGACGTAGGGCCTTGATTGCCTGAACCAGTATAAACCTTGTGTCTCTTTGCATCACCATCCGGATCGGGAGCACGCAGAACAAATTCACTAGTCGGTTGAGGACCCCCCGGTCCGAAACACCGACAGTTGGCGCGCCAGGTAGGGGCCGCTGCGTGTCGGTTTCGTCATCCCAGCAGGTTCCGGATGGCAGACCACGTACGACCATTGCGTCTCGGCACCGTGGTTTGGTTCGGGAGCCTAGAGTTCATGTCTCTAGGGCATGAGTACGACATGGTGCTCCTCACTCCTCGAGCCCCACCAACCAACAATGAAGTTACGCCCCCGTAGCCCAGGCGCGGGCGGCGTCCGGGCGGCCGCTCTCGCCACGCTCGCCAAGCACGGCACGAACAAGGCCACCCCGATGCTACGCGAATCCGGGGCGACACGCCACCCCCCGCTAATATCCTACGACCAGCTGTTGGCACAGGGTCCCTGGCTGGGGACATGTCTAGCCTGAGCTTGGACAAAGGAGACTTGCCTATGGCACGCGACGATGCCCAGTCGTCCATCTCCGCTCCATCACACCCTGAAGAGTCGGCCCCGGCGGAGCAGAATCTGGAGACGGCGCCGTCCCCATACCCCTTTGGGTTGAGAAACGCCGCCGCCTCTTATGCCTACGCTTACATAGCCGCTCACGAGCACCCCTCGGAACGCCGCCAGCGCTTCGCTCTCGACCTGAGCACCCACTCCGACTCCTCGAACGAGGACGAGGCATGGCCCGGGGTGGATTTCTCCGAACTCCACAACCCTGGGGCTTTGCGCCAATTCTTGGCCGCAAGCGACTACTGCTTCGGCTACTCCGACTCCGACGACGAAGGCACCTACGACCCCACTCGCGAATGTTTTCATGTCGGGCTCGGGATGCCGAGGGCGGGCGAAGAGGATGAGGGGGCAGGTAGCCGTTCCCCGCTCCGCCCCGGCGCGGGCGTCGCTACACCTCCATGCACCGTCCTGCCGGCCGCACGAAATGAGAACGTCGCTCTTGCGCGACCTCAGCGCCCAGACCTAGAACAACTCCGTGAGCTCCAGGCCAAGGTCGAGCAAGACCAACTCCTTCTGCAGCAGCTTCGAGACTCTCTCGAACAGGAACAGCGAGGTCACGGCGAAGGCAGGGGAGCCCGACGGAGGGCCCTGGACGTGCATCACCGCATCCATAACGACGAAGGAAGTGAGCAACCCCCGATCTTCAATCGCGCTAGCCAGAACGTCGCGGCTACGGCGATGCTGGTTCGCGCAATGCCCGAGCCTTCTACCGCGGAGGGGCGGCGGGTCCACGGCGAACTCCGAGATCTCCTGGAGACCGCCACGGTTCAGCAAGCCGAGAGTTCTGCCTCCCGACGGCACGGGGGCGTCTCGAACCTGCCCGTGGCACCACCTCGGCAGGACAGGGAAGCCTCGGCTCGTCCCGAACTCGCTCGAGCACCGATAGCTCACAGGGTGCCCGTGCTCCTTGACCGCCTCGACAATCAACACGAGGGGCAGGGAGACCATGAGGTGGTCGGCCGACGACGATGCCACGACGGTGAGGGGCCCGCCCGAGGCTACCATGTGCACCGAGGTAGCCGCTACGACAGCGAGGAAGACCGCAGCCCTTCTCCTGAGCCACCTGGCCCTTGAGTCTTCAGCAGAGCTATCCGTGTCGCCCAGTTCCTGGCCCGTTTTCGGCAACCAGCCAACCTCGCGAAATACAGCGGTGAGACCAACCCCGAACTCTGGCTTGCCGACTACCACTGGCACCTCGCCAGGTGGTGGCGGATGATGACCTGCTCATCATCCGTAACCTCCTTGCTCTTGTCGGACTTCGGCGCGAGCACAACTCGAGCACCTCCCTCCCTCACAGATCCACGACTGGCGCGACTTGGTTAGGGTCTTCGTTGGGAATTTTCAGGGCATGTACGTACGTCCGGAAACTCCTGGGACCTTAAGAACTGCCGCCAGAAACCAGGCGAGTCTCTTCGAGATTTCATCCGGTGCTTCTCCAAGCAGTGCACCGAGCTGCCTAGCGTCGGCGACTCAGAGATCATCCAGGCTTTCCTCTCCGGCACCACTGCCGGACTGGTCACGGAGCTAGGTCGGAACGTACCACGCACTGCATTCTTTGCGCTCCTCGACATCGCCACCAACCGCCTCGGCGCGAGGAGGCCGTCAGTGCCATCTTCCCGGCAATGACGCCAAGGGAAAAAGCGGAGGGACGAGGCCCCGACGCCTCGGCCTCCCACCTCCCTAAGAGAAAGAAAAAGGGGTGCCTAGGGAAGCAGGAGGCCATGGAGGCTGATCTAGTCGGGGCCGTAGAACGCAAGAATCCCCGAGGCCCCAAAGGCCCTAGGCCTTTCGACGACATGCTCAAGAAACCATGCCCTTATCACCAAGCTGCGACGTTACTACGCCAGGCTCGGGCTCCCCGACGACGACGCCAAGCAGAAGGGCGTCGACGACCGGGATGAGGACAAGGACGACGGGTTCCCCGAAGTACGCAACGCCTTCATGATCTTCGGCGGGCCCTCGGCATGCCTTACGGCGTGGCAGCGCAAGAGGGAACGCCGAGAAGTCTTCTCAGTCAAGGTAGCCACCCCCAGTACCTTGACTGGTCTCGAGAGGCGATCACCTTCGATCGAGATGACCACCCTAACCATGTTCCGAATCCCGAGCAGTACCCACTGGTTGTCGACCTGATCATCGGCAACACCCGACTTTCCAAGGTGTTGATGGACGGAGGCAGCGGCCTCAACATCCTCTATGCCAACACCACGGAACTCTTGGAGATCGACCGGTCGAGGCTCGAGGCGATGTCGCACCCTTCCACGGCATCGTGCGGGGAAGCGCCTGCGCGACCCTCGGGCGCATCGACCTTCCCGTCTGCTTTGGCACCCCTCCAACTACATGCAAGGAAGTCCTCACCTTCGAGGTAGTCGGGTTGGGGAGCCTACCACGCCATCCTGGGCGGCCGTACTACGCCAAGTTCATGGCGGTGCCCAACTATACCTACCTCAAGCTCAAGATGCGAGGCCCTAGCGGTGTCATCACAATTGAGTCCACGTACAAACATGCATACATTGCGGCGTCGAATGCATCGAGTATCTGCGAGGTTCTTGCAGAGGCCGAGACCCTCATCGCCCACCTCG